CACTGCTTAGATGATTAAGCAAGAACCACTGTTTGAATTATGACTATTAAATGTAGATTCTATATACAAGGCTATGTCAAAAATTATCGGCATTATAACATATTTATAAATATAAATGACAATAGGAAAACTGTAGTAGTTGACAACACGTTTTGTCCAATGTGGACTTTCTCAAAGCAAAAAACGAAATGAATTTATTTAAACAAAGTAACTAATAATAACAAAAACAAAATGTCCTTAGTAACTGGAAGAATTTAGAGAACGCTATTTTCATACTGTTAACTGAAAATTACGTCAATTCCTGTCACGTATGGAGATATTGTTATTATTGCTGTGTTGACGGATTCAATCATTTTCCTTTGATTTTACGATATTGTTGTGTACGTTTATTTGCGAGAGTAGTAATTTTGTTAAGAACGGTGAAATAGGGAAAAAGCCTGGGCGTAGATTAATATTTGGGTAATATTTTCCACACGTGACAGTAATTGACGTAATTTTCAAATAAATGTATAATGATTTCCTAAGTGTAGCCTAGATATGGTACAAGGCCGAAATCAGCAAAGATTGAACTCACTACTCAGTCATAATTGTTCTAATGACAAGCTTGCTAACCATTACACCACATCGAGGTGCCTTCGCATAAATACATAAAGTAGATATCAGTTTCACTGCTTGAAAAGAAAAAAGCAGGTGTGACTACCTAAATATGTGCGCCTGCTAAAAATAAGTTTTACAACCATAAGAAATAACGTCGACCTATGTCACTAGATCAAATACGACTGAAAAGTGAGCTCGATTCTCACTCAGTGCCCCGTACTTTCGACCTTGTGTCACAGCTAAGCTACGCTTAGAAAACCACCATGAGAAACAATTGTCAATGTCAAGGGGTGGGATACAAATGCTTTAAAAGTAACGAAATGAATTCTGCAAATATTCTTAATAGTGTATTTGAATCAATGTTTTATTTTCCTTGAGCTTTTTTCCTAAAGTTGTACATATATATATATATATATATATATATATATATATATATATATATATATATGTGTGTGTGTGTGTGTGTGTACCTACTATACATTCAAGTAAAAGTTAAAAGAAACAGAGGGCCATATGCATTTTCAAAATTTCACATGCATAGTGTCCAAGATTTAAGGGCATATCTATGCTACGAAAAATCAAAATGGCTTCCGAAAAAATAAATCAACCATTGGAAAAATCCTGAATTTTCGGCCGTTTATTGAAGGCGTCAAAGCAAAGAATCTACAAGCCGTCTTTCTTTTTTATAGAATTCTCTAAAGCCTTTGATTATGTACATGGGTGGGGAATGGGTAAGATCCTTCTGGCATATGTCATCTCCATCATTGAGACAGTAACTGTCATAATGAGGCTATAGAAAAATACCAAATATTTGGTTAGATCTTCAGACGGAGACACTAGCTTCTTTTACATCAAAGCGAAGATCATCTGGGGTGACATCCTTGCACATTTCTCTTTGTTATCAACCTTGAGAACTTCCCCCGACAAACATCATCGTCTACGTTTTACTTTATCACCAAGACTCTTAAATCGATATCCTGCAAAAAAAAAAAAAAATATATATATACCGGTTGTAACGGCAAAATTTTCCAAATTGTGTAACAACAAAATTATCCCCTTGTTAAATTAAGCTTTGAGCCGTTGTATCTCAGAAATAATTAAATATATCTTGCTGTAATTCTCCGAGTGTTTTTATAACACTATTGGACTCTACTTTGAACAATAAGAATTTATTTACCTGTAAGTTGAAATGATGATCCCTCTTGCTCCAGTTTTCCTCTCTACTGCCCCCACTTTTTTAAAAAATTTATTCACCGTTCTCTTGATGGTTCTTGAATGAACTTTGAAGGCGAAGGCCACAGGTATGAATATTGGTACCATTACTGAAGCCTTGAATGATGATCTTTTTCGTTTCACCATTGCTCAGTTGGGAAGACATAGTGAGGTTGACACAAAATGATTTTAACCTATTCTCTTTCTAGCTGAATAACTCAAAGAGCTTCTTTTTTTCAGTGATTCTCAAACAAATGGTGTCAAGATGGCTAATCGTTTTATCTGAAGACCTGGAAAAAAGAAACTCAATTACTTTAGTGATTGTATAGATATTAAACATTTTGTGTGATGGACAATTATCCCATGCTGTTACACAATTTGGACAATTTTGCTGTTACACAATTTGAACAATTTTGCTGTTACATAATTTGGACTGTTTTGCTGTTTCACAATTTGGACAATTTTGCTGTTACACAATTTGAACAATTTTGCTGTTACGCAATTTGGACAATTTTGCTGTTACACAATTTGAACAATTTTGCTGTTACGCAATTTGGACAATTTTGCTGTTACACAATTTGAACAATTTTGCTGTTACACAGATATAATGCATTCAAGTAAAGCTTAAAAGAAACAGAGATCCATGTGTATTTTACAAAACTTAAACAGGAAACCGCAGACACTACTTTATATAGATATATCTGAATTGTCTCCAACATTTGGCGAAGCAACTTATAATAAGAATATAACCGTCACCAGTATCTGGAGACACAGCGTAAACTGAAATGCTGTCACCAATATATGTTAATATATTACGTATCAGTATATGATGTCATGACTTTCTTGACAATATATTACAGTGTTTTCCCGCTGTCTTTTTCGCGCTTTGATATTCAAAATTGCCCTTGCTGCTACACGAGGTTCGGTCTACCCTGCTATTTAACATACAGCTGGCTGGAGAGAAGATGGATTCATACTTTTTTTTTTAAATGTTCTATATAACGATGCTAAGGATACCATGAACTGAACATCTGAATAATAAGGAAGTTTTATTAAACATGGAAGCAAAAAGGAAATGTCTCCACCCTCCTCAAAACCTCCAATCTTCCGATAAGAGGCCTTGCTGTCGGATGTAGTTTATCGTCATACGCAGGACCACTCATTGGTAATGGGGTCTTACCGTTATATAGAGGTGCAGTCTGTATATTCTACAGCCCTAACCGGCAGGGTAAACAGTTTTTTAAAAAGGAGAATCTGCAGTAACATGCAGAATTACTGGACTTGAATTTTCCCTTTTTGAATTATTGAAACATTTTCGTCATAAACAAAAAAAAGTGTACTGAACTGTAACGTAATATCACTTCTTCTATATGGCAGTAAATGCTGGACAATCTCCTCAAAGATAAAAAAAGTTAATTAAAGCAACAGAAATGTGGTTCTACAGAAGGATGCTGAGAATAGTGATTTTCCAACCGTAGCTTGGATGAGGCACAAAGCCGAAAGTAAGGGGCACCCAGTGAGGATCGAACTCACTACTCAGTCGTAATATGTTCTAGCGAGACAAGCTTGCTAACCATTACACCACGCCGAGGTGCCCAAAGGATGCTGACAATAAGAGGAACCGAATATGTGAGCAACGACGAAGTTTTAGAGAAAATGGAAGCAAAAAGGGAACTTATACTTAACGCCAGGAAGGGACAGTTGAAATTTCTAGGGCACATAATGAGGAAAGAGGGTTTGGAAAATCTGATACACACTGAACATATTGAAGACATATTGACAGAGGAAAATATCGCATAACCTACATACCGAGCTTGCGTAAACGGTTGGCAGAATAAAATTTAGGAGAGATAACAAAAAAACATTCATTAAAAGATAGAAAAGACAGGAAATTGTGGAGGGCCATAATCACCAACGTCTTGAAGAGACACAGCACATAGAAGAAGATGTTTCTCTTATGATATTACTATTTGACAGGCATCGGATTCTGAAAGAGAAAAGAAAAAGAAGACAAAATTTATTAAGAGCTACGAAGGATAGGAAATTGTGGAGGGGCATAATCGCAGACGTCCCGATGGGACATGGCACATAAAGAAGAAAAATTTGAACTCAGCTCGCCGATAACCGTTACGCTAACCACGCAACTTACGCTGTCAAATACTAGCGAATATTTTTTTTTTCTTTTTAAAAGAAGTATTCGGACAATTTTCGTGATCTACATAATTTGATTTTACCTTATATAACTATCAAATAAGATTAATACTTTAAAGTCACTGTAACTATATGTAACAGTTCTAATAAAATTTATTTATTCAGTGAACACGTTATGTCTTATAACTTGTGATCGATTTATAATGATCAATTATTACTTCAAAACGAAAATGTAGCGAAACAGAATCAGATGTGAAAACGAGGCATAATTTTGACTGGAAAGTTTCTCAATTAGTCATAAATCTTATTAATGAAAAACATTTCGAATTGTGAGAAGAAAATGTTTCTTTTTCTTTTCTGAACAATGAGTTTCTGCACGAAGGGAAAAAAATCGTAAAAGCTAAACTGAAAACAATAGCCAATGTTTAATTTTAGAATACAAGGTGCTTGTCGGACTTCCGTTTAAGCAAAATCTATGACCAAAATAAAATATCTGGACAATTATCCTAAATGTTTTGTAACTAATTTTGTTTCTAGTTCCAACCTAAATTAGAATAAATTAAATCCAAAGAAGAATCAGCAATATTATTTGTCCCGACCTAACACCTCGGCTCCAGTTATTTTTCCACTACCTTAATTTGATTTTCCTGTGCCTTTTCTATGAATACTTTCAGAGTAATTGTTCGGGTGAACTTTCCGTCATGGTACCTAGACTCTATGAATTTTAGCGCAATAATGGATTGGCAACAAGGTCTCCTAAATTTACAGTTGAATTGCCTAGATGTTACCGTAAGTTTTATGCTAGCAGTTTCTTTTCTCAATACTTCTCGCTTGTGGAACTTTTTCCGGTTCCATGCGTTACAGCCAACTTTGATCTTTAAAAAATTTAAAGGCAATATCAATCATTATCTCTAGTTTTCTTGATTACTCTTCTCGCTCCATATTGATGTTTCTCTTTTGTTTCTTATTCTTTCACACTCCGTAACCGCATTAGTGGCTTTACTGCTTTGCATGGGATGAAATTATTTCTTAAAAATATCTTACGACTATATCACGTTGAAACACCGGTTTCTCGTACGATCACCGAAGGTAAGCAACGCTGAACCTGGTCAGTATCTAGATGGGTGACCACTTCGTAATAGTAAGTGTTGTAAACTTGCATGTGCGAAGGGTGTAATGGATAGAGGTTCAGAAATGAAGTTCAGAGAGCCAAGTTCCAATTCCAGTCGAGTGCGTTGTTCACTTACGCGTACATACTTTTGGGAAAGGTATGAATGAGGGGGGGGGAGAAGTGGTGACTTCTCCCCCACCCCCTCACCAGATATGGTTTAATTAATAGGACTTATCAGTAAATCATTATTATCTCTAGAACATTCTTACAATCTAAAAGTATACCTTTTGGGAGGCATCTTTCGCTGTTCCAATAAACAAGTGTCCGTTTTGATTTCATTTCCCTTAAAACTTCCTCGTTACTCTCATATTTCGTTCATGGCATTCTCAGTATCTTTCTGTAGAAACACATCATTGTTGTCTCAAATCTCGTCACGTTGAAAGACCGTACAATCACCGAAGTTAAGCATCGTCGAGCCTGCTCAGTACCTAGATGGGAGACCGCTTGGTAATACCAGGTGCCGTAAGTTTGGATACGAGTGGTGTAATAGATAATGGCTCGAGATTGTTAATCGGAGAGCCGAGTTCTAATTACCGCTGAATTCCTTGCATTTATTTATACACAAAATACCCTCTGGAAAGGCATGAATCATGGATCCGTCTCTTCTTCCCCTAAGCTATAAGTTAATTAGTAGAACTTCTCAGTAAACCTTTATTATCGCCAAAACATACATACAACCTAACAATATAGTCTGCCTTTAAATAACCTGCAAAAGGGCGATAAGCCGTAAAATACAAATCAATATGAATTGGAATGTTCGTTTCAGATTGTCATTATCTCTTTATTTTAACTACCGTATTTGACGGCATATAAGACGCACAGGTGTAAAAGACGTACCGCAATTTCAGTAGGGCAAATCAAGAAAAATTAGTAATTAGTAAAATTAGTAAAATTATTAGTAAATGGTACTGCGTAGGCTATATTTATGAAGTATTATTTTGTTTAGATAAGCTATGATTACATTTAAACGAAAAATAATAGGAAAAAAGAACACGAGCCTATAAAACTTTATTATATCCTTTTTATAATCTGTACAACCTGCGTCTTGTAATCGTTTTATTGGGATAATTAGGATATAAAAATTCTGATTGTATTTATGCCAAAATACTCTAAGCTAACAGGAGTTGCCAGGTAGCTAATTTCAGCCGACTATCGCGAATTTTTAACCTATGTATGGCATATGAGACGCAGGGGAATTTTAAAAGTTATTTTTAGTATAAAAAAAAAGTGCCCCTTATATGCCGTCAAATGCGGTAATTTAAAACAACTTTTTAAGTTTCAAAGAATACCATTGACATTTAAAGGAATAACGGGGTTATATTTTTCCCATTGTTATAAAATATTTTAAACTGCCTCAGATTGTCATGGTATTACACGTAAATACAAAGACGATGCATTAAAATAAAAAGAGTCAATTAAACACATTGACGTATTCGGATTCTCTGATTTATTATTCCCAACTTCTTATACATTGTTAATATATGTTATGATTATTATAACGTTTTGTTTACGCACCCTCTGGAATCTTCAGGTGTCCTTTATTTTTGGGTTGATATAGGCCGTCTTGTATCCATTAATTATTATGTTATACTTGTCCCTGTTATGGTGTTTCCCTTTGTTCAGAAACGGTATTAGTATGCATCCGTTTAACTCGCGAGATATAGACAGCGGACTGTTTGGTCAAAATTAATTTGCTTTAGTAGAGAGACTGGAGTGAACTCCCCGAGGCGCAAACATATACCGTGCGCTACCCAGACAACATGTCGCCCATTCAAAGAATTACAATGGATTACATTTGGGGCCGACTTGAATGCAGAAATCCCCGGATGTTTGTATTGTCAGCCAACAATCTTTGGAGCTCCACTCCGGATTTTCTAACTGGATTTACTTCCATAGCCTTTTCCGTGTTTCGGTATGACCACAAAACAGCGGAGATTTTAAATCAGGACTTTCCTTCCATTACATGTACTATATTACCGTGTTGGTTAATCAAATGTCATCTAATGTATCCAGTAGTGGAATTAATAAACCCTGATTTAGTAGGAAGCATAAAGAAACAGTATCACAGAACAGAAATATTGCATATATAAGACGCCCTATATCAGAAAAATAATACACTGAAGATGGCCAAGGTGTACATGGCCGAAACGTTGTTATCATATCTATAATAACATCTATAAAAGTCCAAAAGAAAGTAATAATTCGGATAAGTCAAAGTATACTGACAATGCTTCATCTCAAATCAAACATTATTTTTTTAATTAAATTAAACAATCAAGAAAGATGTCATAATCTAATTGTGTGGTTTTATTAGAAAATTTAATTAATACATATTGATTTAAACAGCATCTTAGCATACATGTGCGCGAACGCTAAATTTCTACAGGTGTAGAAAAGTAAATGTTTAGCGAAAATGTACTGTCCAAAAGCGTTTCCACTTTAATAATATCTGCTTTATCTAATATCGCTAAAGGCCCAAAGGAAATAATTTTCTTTTACACATATGGAAAGTACTCCAAAAAGAAATAATCTTTGGAAAGTAATCCACCTTTGGAAAGTACTCCACCTTTGGAAATTACTCCACCTTTGGAAAGTACTACGGAAAAAAGGAGATAAAATTTCTGTCTGCTTTGTTAGATGAGAATAAAGTAAATATGATTCTTTTTATACATGTAAAATGCAGCACAGGAATATTTAGTCAGGACAGAAACAGATAAATTCATTTCTCCGGAACTTTCATCAAGGTGTTTTAATGGCACTGGATGGTGGATGCTGATAGGATTTCTTCTTATTTGGTTAAATGTTTTGCATCCGATGAGAACCCTTATTCAGGGATCCTTTTAGACTTTTGATATAATCCGCCAAATATTGACAAAGGTAGAGCAATCGGGGAACGAAATTCGGATGGTTCCCAAACGCATTAAGTCATAGCATTTGAGGTCATAACGTGGTTGTTGCTAGATTCCTGTCGAGAAAAACATATTACGTTTCCATGTGAACATGCTACACATGAGGGATTGATAAGTTGTCCCTTTAATTATTTTCCACACTGCAACCTCTTTCCCCAGAAAGGAAATGGAGCTAGAATCTCGCTACTTTATTACTATTTCCAGTTTATTTCTCACACTGTTTGGGTCCTGTCACTGGATCTAACCAACGCCTTTATCCACTGTGCCATGTGACCTTGTGTGTGAGTTCAATACCCGGTTAAAACAGTGGAGAACTTAGAGAGGTGAATTAACAGGAGATAACTGATAAGTGACATCCATTAAACATGGCACGTGGAACTAGAACAGTCTACTCCAGTGAGCGAAATAAAGGGTTCAGTTCGACATTCCAACCACCGGAAGAAGGCCGGAGCGTACAACGGCCGAAACGTTTTAATAAATATGGCGACAAAGATGAGGACAATAGTCCGAATAATGTAAATAGTGTGCATAATACCTCATCTCAGATATATACACTGCGTGCCAAATTATTATCGAGATATCTTTTTTTCACCGTGATGATAACAAATATGGCGCCAGTTTGTTTACATTGCGCAGATCAGTACGAAAATTTCAGTGATTGCGCAGCTCAGTGTTGCCAACATTGTGTGAAAACTTTGTGTGAATAATAATTTGGCACGCAGTGTAGACAGATACAGAAGAATTATCGTTGAACTTTTAAAAGGCAAGTATAAATATTAATGCAATACTTAAATGCAGCGATCAATTTTCAGTTCTATCGCATCTACTCCTTCCTAACTATTGTGATGAATGCCCAATCAAGAGCCCTCCGCAGGAGTAAGGTTAAATGCCGCCCAATAGTATTTAATAAATATCTAATTTTAAAAATCTAGATATACCAAACACATAGCTTCCATGTCTAAGTCAAGTTTTTCCTATTTAATACTTAAACTGGATGGTAAATTCCTTAATTTTAACAAGTGGAATTGTTTTCTCTTTTGCCTTGCGGAAGGGATTTAAATCAACCATTATTGACCTCTCTTAGTAATAATAGATACTTCATAAACCCTTTATTGAAAACTCTACCGTAATCTTCTTTCTGAATGATATACTGATATTTCATATTTTAAAAAATTTCGTAACTATTTTTCTTTATTAAAATTTAAAGTGCGCTATAGAGTTTAAGTCATTTTACAAGTGTTACCTGAAGTTAAAAAATATGTTGAGAAACATTTTTTCTAGTCGTTTATGCTTCTTTAACTTTTCCTCTTGGTAACACAACCCAGCGAGTTGCAACTACGAACAACATCGACAAGTCGTCTCCTCTTTCTGTCAAAGATTGAACACAGTGTGGGGTGAAGATCGGTCAATCGGTGATATGCTACCGCGTGGCGCCCGGTCCAGTGTCAGAAAGAAATTGTTTTCGCTAAATTTAGTAATGTAACATAAATTGATTAGATAATAGCTGTTCGGACAGTTAATTGCAAAGGCATAAGAGTCAGACTAAAATGTACTCACTATAGTTTTCTGGTCTTGAATGGATTAATAAACGAAATATTTTTCCAACTTAGAAATTTTAGCACACTGGGCAACGAGGAAATGCTGCTATTTTTTTTTCTTTCAGTTAGCTGATTCTTATTTACGAAAAAAATGCTTAATAATAAATATGAGTAGCCAAAACATATTGTGAAGAGATCTTTAGTAATTAAAATTTTAGGAATAATTGTCTTAAATTCCAGTGTTAAATTATAAAACAAATAAATATGCCACGAGATATAGAAACAAATCTGTTTCAAGAATTATGTACCTGAACAAGAAGCCATACATACTTTATCTACTGGTTTTATTGTATAATTATAAGGCTTTTTTTTCATAATAAATGTTGTTTAAAAACGCCTGATAATTATACACCAACCCAATATTTTTTCAGGTTCTAACTTAACGAATACAAATGAAAAATACCTGTTATAATAGATATTCTCTCTGACAGGTGTAGTCTCGTCCGTAGGTATAGCGATACTGCCTTTTATACGGTACTTCATTTACATATCATTACAATACCCCCAAATAACTTAAAAGCTTTAAATTCAGGCTATATATAACCTTTAACTCTGAAATCAATATCAGATTTCATACCCCAGAATCGAATAATCTTCTCTACCGACAGCTAGTCCTGAGTATAACGATAAACCCCATCCGATAGCAAGGCATCTGATCAGGAGATAGGAAATTTTGACGAGCGTAGAACTACCTCTTAACTGCAGTTGTTCTCAGGCTCACCCTGACCCGGAATGCAGCAACTGACGGATTCCAGCTTCGGCGAATTAGTGAAACCCCAAACGAAAACAAATCACTATGAAATTATAAAAATACTTTTTTATATAGTTAAAATACCAGCAATACATTTGTATATAAAAAAAATAATATTACCAACAATGCCTACTTATAATAAAATTACCATCAATACTCATCCACTAACAAATGACTTCAACCAAATCCGTTTGAAATACTGCGAAGC